GGACTGAAGTGGAGACCGGGGAGACCAGCCCCCACCAAAGCCCCGCGGCACATTGTTGGGGAAACTGAGGCCCCGGGGAAGGAGTTCTGCGTGCCGGATCGACGCAGTTTTCGCCCCAAACACGCTTTCTCCCACCACTTGGTGTCTGTATTGCATATTCGCTGACGGCATCTTGTCACCGTCGCCCAAGTGTCATGGTGTGTGACATGGACAGCTGGGGTTGAATCGTCGCAGGGAATGACACGGAAAGGAAAAGCTACACGTGTGGGCTGGGGAGGGAGGGAAGTTAAGTTTTTAAACACGGAATTGGCGCTGCTGCCCCGGTGCTGAGCTCCCTGGTCCCCTGCAGGCCGGGCTGTCGCAGCCGGTGACGGGTTTGTGGCTGCTCGCAACCTGCGGACAGGCTGGCTTGGCGTCCTCTCCCGGAGGGGAGATCCGTGCCTTTTTCTCGCCCAGAGAGAATGAAGACCAGTGAAGAGAAGCGAGTCAGAGGACCGAGGACTGTGTCCCTGCTAATCTCTCTACAGCTGCTCAGATGGTCGTCCGCCCGGCCAAAGTCTAGCTTCTCGGCCAGTCCTTGATGATTCAGAAACAATGCCAGCGGGTGGTGTTCTGCTGCCTGCATCTCCTGCCAGGGGGAGTTAAGAGATAGTGATACAGATAAAGTTCAGTCTTCAAATATTTTACCATTACAGGCCCGGTGCACGGATTACGGGGGTGGGGCAATGGGGGTCTCAGCCCAGCCTGCACCCTCTCCAATGCAGGGCCCCTCGGGGGATGTCTGACTGCAGGAATTGGGGCCAACCGGGCAGTTGGACGTCCCTCTCACAATCTAGCAGGCTGGCTCCTAACTGCTTACCTGCCTGCCTGCCTGATCACCCCCAACCACCTGCCTGCCAACCTGATCGCCCCTAACTGCCCTCCCCGTCCCCCTGCTGGCCTGGTCTCCCCCAACTGTCTGCCCTCCCCTCTGCTGGCCTGGTCGTGCCTCAGTGCCCCCTCCCCAACCCCCGCAGGCCTAGTTAACCCCCAACTGCCCCCACCCCCCAGCCTGGTCACTCCCAACTGCCCCCCCCAGAGGCCTGGTCCCCCATGCTGCCTGCTGTTTGGTTGTTACTGTTATTGTGCCGGTGTCCCAGACAATTTGCACCTACCTCTATTAGTATAGATATATCATGGACAGAGGTTGATATAAATATCTAAAATGGTTTTGGGGCATTGCTCAGTGACTTTTAGCTGTATGTACTAAGCCATTGTGGGGTACAAAGTATGAGATAGAAAAATTCTAACGGGTGGCAAAACTGGGACAGTATAGCCATGTTTAAGCTGTGGTATATTAAGTGGTTATTAACTTTTTAAAGTCATGGACACCTTTTGAAAATACGAAAATCATAAATACTTTCCCTAGAAAAATATGCATACATATAAAATGTGCCTATGAATCACAGGATTCACAGGCATTCCCTAGATTAAAGACACAGGATCGAAAATACTTGATTAAATAAGTGGAAATAAAATAATTATTTAAGGTGAAAGTGAGATATTCTTGCAGCTTTTTGAATATTAAAGCATCCCTAATTTATTATGGTGCTAAAACAAGATGAATCACTTTGTTACTTGTTCAAATTCCTTGAAAGAATTGATCAGGCCTTCAAAATTGCTTTTGAGATGCAAAATGTGGGAAGCTTTCTTTTTTTTTGGTAGTTGTCAGAAGTCCCAGTGAATGGTAGGTAATAAATAATGTAGCACCTGGAGGAATAGGTGAAATAATTTACTTAATATATAATATTAGTTATC